TTGATATGAAGGATCTCGATGAAGCTTCGTTCGTCCTATAAATAGAGATTCACCGAGATAGAGAAAAGGGGGTTTTAGGATTATCACAAAAGACATACTTAGAAAAAGTTCTAAAGAAATACATTATGCAAAATTGTAAGTCATCACCTGCTCCCATAGTCAAGGGCAACAGATATGGGGAATTTCAATGTCCTAGGAACCAATATGAGATCGATCAAATGAAAGCGGTTCCATATAGTTCAGCTGTCGGAAGTTTATAGTATGCTCAAGTGTGTACTCGTCCTGACTTAGCATTTGTTACCGGGTTGCTTGGCAGATATCAGAGTAATCCAGGAATAGAACACTAGAAATTAGTAAAGAAAGTTTTGCGTTACCTGCAAGGTACGAAGGGTCTCATGCTAACGTACACAAGATCTGATTCCCTGCACATAGAGGGGTATACAGATTCTGATTATGCGGGAGATGACAGAAAGTCCACGTCAGGATACATATTCACTCTCGCAGGAGGAGCTATATCGTGGAAAAGCTCAAAGCAAACTATCACTACATCGTCCACAATGTATGCCGAGTTTGTAGCATTTTATGAGGCCACAGGGTAGGTGAATTGGCTGAAGAAATTCATGCCCGGGTTGAAAGTGGCAGACGACATACATAAACCACTCAAGTTATACTGCGACAATAATCCAGCAGTATGTTATGCTCACAACAATAAGTCAAGTGGTGCTGCCAAACACATTGACATAAAGTATTATGTTGTGAAAGATAAAGTCCGAGATCATATAATTAGTCTTGAGCATATAAAAACAGAAAAGATGCTCGCGGATCCGCTTACAAAAGGCTTACCACCCAGCGTGTTCAAAGAACACTTAGCCAGCATGGGTTTAAGGGAAAGCCTATGATTCCTGAACAATAAGGGCCTAGTTGAAAATCTATTTCAAAACAGAGAGGTGCATTGTAGCTATTTAATCTAATGGCAACTGACCGTGACGATGAGACACATTCTATGCACTGATCTGTGATGGAATGGGAACAAGATAAAGCAAGTAAGATGAGATTAAGTCATAAGGTGAGATCAAGGGGGAGAATGTTAGATGATCTCCAACCAATTGACCTAGGCCCTTGGATCCACGCCCTGATCGGGAGCGTCCAACCCTACATGGTTGGTGGGCCCTGGTCACACTGCGCTATAAAGAGAGGTGACGGGCCGGCGGCTCTCTTCACGAGGTTGAACCGAGCTATAGTCGCCCATCGAAAAACACTAGCCCGATCGAGACAGGGAGCACAGCCAGTGACGGGAAGCCGCCACCGTCTTCACTGCCGGGACCCGACGATGCCGCCCCTGTACCGCACCACTTCACTGCTACATCGCCACCGCCTTCATCGACTCGGACCGCACCACCGCCATCGCCATGGACGGCTCCAGCAGTTCCTCCAAATCCTCTGATGGTCGGTAACCTATCACCTCTCTCTCCCTCTTCTCTCTATCTTCTAGGTTTATATGAACTATGACTTATTTATCACGAATGTAAGGTCTTTTACCCACTAATCTACACCTAGATGTATCTAGGGTTTTAACATGTTAACCCTGCAGCATCTCAAGAGTGGGAGAAGGAAAGCTAGTTTCAGTCAAGCTTCATCGATAGAAACCGCCGCATTAAGTAAAGAATAGATGATGAAAATTGCCATCACCAGCTGCAGCTGGGATCACTACATAGCCAACGGAAGAAAGGTGGTTCAGCAGCATTCTTGGACGGCCGGAACATCGGATGCTGAAGTAGGCTCTTCCTCAGCACATGCCTAATAGGCAACACCCTCTGACTACTCTGAGTCTGATTCAACCAAAACCTGCGCAGCAAATTCCCATCCCTATCACAGTGGAACAGCCCATGCCAGGACTCGATCAGCACATCCCCTTCGCTAACACAACAGCTGGAACCCAAGCATCTTCATGAAGGTGCAGAGCCGGCATCTGTTGGAGCGCCAGTTGAATCCGGTGCTTGAGGACCCAAACCTCGCTCCGGTAATCCTGTAGACACCAGAGATCTAGCGTTGCCACGTTCTCCCTGGAGACGGACAGGCCGAGGTTGCCGTCCGGGAATTCAAGCAGCCTCATGTGTTGGTCGTCCCTCAAGGTCACAGGAGGAGGTCTCGTCCAGCTGAAGTTCCTTAGTGTTGCGATTTTTGTGTATTGTTCACTATTTTTATGACTTTTCTAGGAATTACTGCCATATTTTCTCTCTTATTTTTTATATATATGTGACCATTGAATTGTTGCAAGAATGCTAATTCATTGTGTGATGATTTTTTTAGTTGTTCACTATTTTAGTGTCACTCGATGGAAAATTGTGCTGAACATACTAGATCCACCACTTCTCAGTTAGGATTTAGTGGAGCATTTAATTCTTTTAGGGCCGGTTCGACATTTAGTGGAGCACATGTGAATTAGATACTCCTATAATACTATTGCTATGGATCATGAAACTTGAACCAATTAGCTTGACAGATCCATTTCTTTCATATTCAAACTGTTTATCTTGTTCGTTGGACTGATATTTGTGATCACAGATTCAAACTTATCTTTAGTTGTCATAAACTCTTCAATTCAATGCTCTGTTCCAAGTTATGTTGGAAACCGGCAAGTTCCTGAACCATGTTGGGGAAGGGCAGCAGGCATTGTGCCTAATGATTTCTTGTTTGTTACAGGAATACTTTTGAAGCTTTGCAGGCTTCCATACATGGATGAAATTAGTCTTTTGTGTGTTAACCAAAGAATTGTTGGTTTTTTCTTGATGCACTCTTGCATGTCTCGTAGGGCAGGCCTGATGCAAAGTGGTGAGAGCTGTCTCACTGAGTCACTGTGTCGTGGGTTCAAGCAGCCTCTCAAGTAGATTTTGTGGGGAAAGACTTGTCTCGGTTGATCCCTTCCCTGCACCCCACTCATGTGAGAGCCTCCGCACTTTGGGTCTGCTGCTTTTTTTTACTCTTGCTGTTATACTAGTATCTGTTAGGTTGCTTAGGGTGATGTCAAAGTCATATTTCATTGTTCACAGTTGTCAAAATCTAACTCTGCCATGAAATTGAATTTGAGCAGAGTCCATATCTGGCAAAGGTATTCTATACACTATATATTGTCGTATTATATTCAGAAATGCTATACAACGCATGTGTGTGTTTTAGCACAAAAAACACATGGATTTTTTTTATCTCTCTCCCCTCTCTTTCTCACCAAAGTGACCACACATGGCAGTGGCAGTGGCGGTGGTGGCGGCGGATTTGTGATTTATCCTTTCATAGAATTTTTTTTTATGATATGTGATATGTGATCTATGATCTGTGGAGGCTAGAGTTAGAAGAAGGGTGGAGGCTGTTGGATCTTAATCCTATCGTGCAAAAAAATTCATGTGTTGAAACTGTATAAAACACATAGTTGTGTAGTAGACAGACTTGTCGTCGGATTTTAGTGTTTTCTGTTATTACTGAAATAAAATAACAAGCTCCAGTCCATTTGATTGTAAGTTTGAAGTTCTCACGTGGATCTTGGAAGTTTGCCATCTCTTGCACAGAAATTGCTTCCTTTCAAGATTATTACAACTGAAATACTAAACAGGGACCAGAACTAGTAGTTCTGCTTCAACAATTCTCTTCGGTGCAGCCGTGCAGTGCAGTGCAGCTTCTCGACAGGAGCAGTGTACCTATTGCACTGGTACAGTTGCCCTCGTGCAATTCGTGTCAGCCCAGTGAAAAGAGACAGAGAGCAGTACAGATGGGAATGGTGTCGCACTCGATCCGCAGCTCCGCGCCGCCGCATACCCATGCATGAGCGGCAGGCGACGCGGCGTCACGCGCCAAGGCCCCGCCTGTTCCCTCCCACTGCCTGACACTCCGCCGCAGGTGCAGACTCTGCATCCGTGCATCGCCGACGGATCGGAGGCTGGTTCTGAAATCTTCTAAAGCTTCTATTTGAAGTCCTTGTGTCATGACATCTGCAGATTGTTGGCCTGTGGGAAAAAGTTTCATGATCCATAGAAAACAGTAGTAGCATATTTAGTTCATATATGCTCAACTGAATGTCCAAGTCCAACGGCATATAGTTAGAACGACTCCTTAACCTCTCTTTTTTTCCGATTAGAACGACTCCTTAGCTGAGAAGTGGATCTAGGATGTTTTAGCATATTCCACTCATGATTCAGGCAGCAGAGAGAAATAGCATAACCTCAGCTGCATATTTTGGGCATGACACTGAAAAAGTGAACAAGTCACAAAAATCATCATAGTGGCATTACTGTAACAATTCAATGATCAGAATAGCAAGGGAGAAACCCATTCCCAAAAACCATTCGAGTCAAACTTCCACTTCCATAGCTCTACCAAAAGGAGATAAGCATTTCTCGGTTCACAGAAAATCGTAGATGCATTTTTAGATCGATTTCCAAAATTAAGGAAAGGTGGAAGGGGATGCTCTGCAACCAAAATACTCAATTGTAGCACCTGAATGGCTGAATCTCTCACAGTAATTCATGACCGTAACTTCAGCATCTCTGAATCCAACATACAGAGCATTGGAGCTGAGAATTTCATACAACCAATGGGAAAAAAACAGGAGCATACGGTCCCAAACTTCAGTCCGATGCAGAAGAGGTTTGCATATTCAGTTACATGAAAGAAATGGATCTGACAAGCTAATTAGTTCAAGATTCAAGATCCATTGCAATAGTAGTATCAAACTTGAACATATCTGCTCAACAAAAGATCCAAGAGAGGTTTGCATATTGAATTATAGCGCCTGAATCTCACACATCCATTCATGTCCCAAACTTCAGCAAACATCCAACATACAGAGTATTTGAACGGCAGAGACTTTCATACCACTAAAGGGAAAAACAGGAGCATATGGTCATGATTGTTAACCCTGCAGCATCTCAAGAGCGGGAGAAGGAAAGCTAGTTTCAGTCAAGCTTCATCGATAGCATCATGCAAAGCATAGATGCTGAAAATTGCCATCACCAGCTGCAGCTGGGATCACTACACAGCCAACGGAAGAAAGGCGGTTCAGCAGCATTCTTGGACGGCCGGGGCCGGAACATCGGATGCTGAACGAGGCTCTTCCTCAGCACATGCCTAATAGGCAACACCCTGTGACCACTCCGAGGCTGATTAAACCAAAACCTGCGCAGCAAATTCCCATTCCTGTCACAGTGGAACAGCCCATACCGTGACTCGATCAGCACATCCCCTTCTGGTGAGACAACAGCTGGAATCCAAAGATGTTCATCCTGCAGCAGAGCCGGCATCTGTTGGAGCGCCAGTTGAATCCGGTGCTTGAGCACCCAAACCTCGTTCCGGTAATCCTGTAGACACCAGAGATCTAGCGTTGCCACGTTCTCCCTGGAGACGGACAGGCCGAGGTTGCCGTCCGGGAATTCAAGCAGCCTCATGTGTTGGTCGTCCCTCAAGGTCACAGGAGGATGTCTCGTCCAGCTGAAGTTCTCGTTCCATGTGTCGAACATCAGCAAGTGGTATCCCTGGCTCTGCTGCGGCGGCCAGAGCAGGTCCATTTTGCCGCGCTTCCACTGGATGGGTGGGGAGATAGAGGCCCTTTCCACCCCGGCCCCTAGACCATGGTCCTTGCGCACCGCCGGCGAGAGGGGGCGCCCGATGCACCGACGCTGCCCAGGCCTCACCTCGATGACGTGGTACGAGCAGGTCGGGGCTTCTTGCTCTCGGACGGTGGTATAGCTGCGGCTAAGGCACAGCACATGGTACTTGCCGGTACGGCCGTGCTCATAGAGCCCAATCACGTCCAAGCCAAAGGTCGTAGGATCGAAGAGGGAAACCCAGTGGCGTGTCGCGGGGTTGATGATGTACCAACGGCGACGCGAGGAGAAGGAGACGAGGAGGTAACCGTCGAGGGAAGCGTGGACCGTGACGTGGGGCTTCAGGATGGCGTCGCCGTAGTGCTTCATCCTTTCGTAGTCGACAACGTAGTTGTCGATGATGGGGGGAGCGTCACGGCCCTCGAGGTCGTACTCGTCGATGAAGTAGTCCTCGTTGTCAGTGAACCGGAAGACGGCGCGCAGCTTGCCGGAGCGGAGGTCGAGGGACTCGACGCAGTAGTCGCTGAGGTGGATGTAACGGTCGGGGCAGGCGACGCGGTCGAAGCAGAGGAGCGGCTGCGGCGGCTCCGCGCGGTTGAGGCGGGAGAGGAGGGCCTCGTTGCACAGCTTGCCGCCCCACGCCCTGCAGACCGAGCGCATGCGGAGGATCCACTTGGGCGACAGCCGGCCGAGGAGCGCCTTGAGGACCTCGAAAGGGGCGTCGCGGATGAAGGCCGCGGCGTCGCCTGGTTCCGCCATTCTCTCCTGCGCTCCGCCTCGGGAATTTGTCGGCGCGCTGGGCGGGTGGTGGTGGTGGTCTGGTTGGTGGGTGGCGACTTCTCTTCTCCAACAGCGCCAGCGAGCGGCTCGATTCTCCCTGCGAAACGCAAACGCGGCGGCGGGTATTAGCAACGAAGCCGGCTACGGGAACACGACAATTCGACGGAGGTGGGAACCAAATTGGGGCTCGGATGACCGCAACACGGAGGCAATCGAGCCAAGGACGGGGGTGATCGGACCGAAATCGAGCGAGAGGATGGGGGTGCTTCGAGAGCTCACCTCTCGTCGCCGCGGCTGCTTCTGCTTCCCTTCCCTTCCCTTCCCGCTCTTTCGGTCGAAGCCAGGAAGACGAAATTGTGTTGGGGGGCCCGCAGGTGGTTACCAATTGCCTTTTAACAGCTGTCAGCCTGTGTCACCTCTTCCCTTCCAACGTACACTTGCCTGCGTGTGGGCTTGTGAGGTGGGCCTGGGCCTTGGGCGTCGATGTTTAATTGGGCAGAATTCACGTGATCATGTGCAATTAGCCTTCCGCCTTTGTGGGCTTCATTTAGCCTAAGTTACTTGTGTTCTAAATCAAGCTTCTTTAAGTTGGTTTCAAGCTTTAAAAACTGTATTATCATATACAACTTAAAATAATCTTATTACTAAATATATGTTCTATGAAAAATTTTCGAAATAACGCCCAACAAGTATGGATTATGGATAACCGACTCCGCTGTCCGCTCTGACCTATTGCTCGCCGTCCCCATACCATTCGTGTGCATGTCACCTTGGCTACCCAAAGCGACGCCGGCCACCGGCACTAGCGGTAGGAACCGCCTTCCTTCTTGTCCACCCCAAAGGCAGAACAACCTCTTGCATCTCTGCACTAAGGTTGTCATCTTGGGCATCTCTCGAAAGGCCGTTGACATGTGGCCTCATAAGATGGGATAAGAACCACCTCCCTTCTCGTCCACCCCTAAGGCAGTGCACCCTCTTGCATCTCTACACTGAGGCTGTCATCTTGGGCATCTCTCCGAAAGGCCGTTGACATGTGGACTCATAAAATATGGCCCCGATGTAACGCACGGTCATTTATCTAGTTTATATCAAAATACACTCATGGTGCGTTTACTCTTATCTATATTAAAATAGGAAGAAGCTTTAGATTTCGGTCGTTTTTTTTCTGTTTTTTAATTTAATTGAGGACATTTCAATTTTGTTTTCCGCGTGGCTGTACTTTCCACCCAGCGCGTTCCGAATACATTGTGAATTTTCTGAGACCCTGTCCGTCTCACATCCCTGCGTCTGTTAGTTTGGGTTTCCCGTCTGTCACCGGCTCACAGCGTTCGTCGTATGTTTTTCTCGTTTCCTTTTGGTCCCATTTTCCGTGAACGTCTGTGTCCGTCTCCACATCCACTTGCTTTTTTGTTTCCGTTCCATCGTCAGCCGTTCCATGACCTTTTTACCTTTTCTTTTTTTCCTAGAAAGTATGTCCTGCTTTTTCTTATAAATACCAAAAATAATTTTTTTTTTGCGAATTCTCTCTTTATGAAGATCTACAAAAACCCTCTATTTGCTACAGCGGTGAAAAAAACACTTCTCTAAGAAGCTGTACAGATAAAGCAAAAGCACAGTCGAATAAGCTGATCTCGAGTTTCTATGTTTTGGTATAAATGAGTGTTGTGGATAGAAGGTGTGGCTAGTGAAAGTTGTACAACCTATCATTTGACTTTTAATCTCAGTTTATTCTAGCCATAAGCAACCTATAAGATATACCGAATAGAGCACATAGCCTATAGATATCGAGATTTCAACTACTAAATTGTTAATATAGTTTTGATTAAGAATAAAACTTATTGTTTTTAGAACTTGGATCAGCCAATGATCCAACAAATCAAAGCGTGAACTGAAATCTTGAGCAGTTTGTCATTCAGTCTAATCAAAATAAATCTATCTCCAAGTTGTACCTATATAACATAACATAACATAACATAATAGTGTAATCCTCGATGAGGGTTGCCATGTTGAAATTAAGAGAAGTCTCTGTCATAATCATCAAATAGACTAATGCTTCATACAGCGGGAACTAACTCCTTACTAATTTTAATTCGACATTACAATTACATATTATTATTGGTCTTCACAAAAACTCACGGAACTTGCGATATCTAACATGTAACATTCCTGTAACTATTTTATATTAACATTTGATAGTTTTTCCTCCTCCCTCTGCAACGCACGGGTATGTTTGATAGTTGTAATAATAGACGACACAACATGTTTGTTCGGTTGCAACGCATAAAAATATTTGCTAGAAAACAAAAAAAATCATATAGTATATGGTATGAGAGAACTTTATACATGGCAAATGAAAACTATTACTTCGTTTCTTCAGGTACTAACTGTTTTCTGTAGCTTTTTTTTTGTGAGCAGAAACTTTTTATTTTTTGAGGAAGGAAAAACTGTTTGCTGTAGGCTGTAGCTGGCATTTGACATTCGTTGAGTGCGGCCCGGCCCGTTTAACGCAGCCTTTCTTCTTCCAGTCCAGTGTCTCGCTGCCGGACGAGCCGAGTTAAAACTCAAAAGTCCAGTCCACTGCCCACGGTACCACAACCACAGAGCTCGAAGTCGAACCCTTGACCCCACCCCCACGCCGACGGCCGCTCGATGGCGTCGGCTCCGGCGCCGGCGCCGGCGCTGGCGGCTCCGACCCTACCGGTCGATATCCTGGAGGACATATTCCTCCGCCTCCACGAAGCGGCCGACCTCGCCCGGGCCTCCGCCGTCTGTTCCTCATTCCGCCGCGCCGCCTGCGACCGCGGCTTTCTCCGTCGCTTCCGCTCCCTCCATCCTCCGCCGGTCCTCGGAGTACTCGCTTTTGAGAATCCTGGAGTACTCCTGCACGCCAAGCCGCCGCACCGGTCCGCCCCGGCCGCACGCGCCCTCGCGCAGGCCGCTGACTTCAGCTTCTCCTTCGTCCCCAGGGGCCCCAACTACGGCAACAGGGTCTGGCGCGTCTGGGACGCCCTCGATGGCCGTGTCCTTCTCTCCATGAATCGCTACAGGAACACCGCCTTGGAGGACCTTGTGGTATGCGACCCCTTGCACCGCCGGTACGTCCAGATCCCCCCTACCCCCGGAGAACTAGTTGCCTCCAATCGTTGCCATGATGATGTGGATTTCGAGCCCTTTCTGGCTCCAGCTTTGAAGGAGGAGGAGATGCATGAGTTGTCATTCCGAGTGATCTGCAATGTGCGGTCCAGTTACAAGGTTGTCACCCTAGTCTTCTCTTCGGTCACTGCAAATTGGCGTGGTGCCACTTCTATCAGCTTCCTACCCGACAGATTGGTTGATAACCCTAGATCGTTGGTGCGCTACTATGTGCGTGGCTGCTTCTACTGGACTTGTGCGTCGGTGAAACATATGCTTTTGCTTGACCCACGTGAGATGAAATTGACGCTGGTTAAGCTCCCACATATTGAGCTCCCACGTTTCAATCATAAATTGCCGGTCATTGTCGATGCAGGGGAAGATAAGCTTGGTGTCGTTACTGTTGGTTACATGAACAACACCTTAGACCTCGATTGCAAGACTTGGTGGAACAATGATGATGGTATGGAGGATTGGCAGCACAAGATTATCCCCTTGCCTGAGCTTGGCTATGAATGGTACATCAAGGGCGCAGCTGACAGCTACTTACTATTGAAAGTCATTCGAAAAGGGTCCGAGATCCCAAAACAAGTGTTTTACATACTGGAGGTCAAAACATTGTCGTTTGAGAGGCTGCATGTGTCTGTGTCTGACATGGGCTTCGGTCCTCCTAGATTTTTTGCAAGCTTCCCACCACCGCTGTCACTCCCAACTATATGAAATGGTGAGAGCCTTCCTTGTTTGCCTCACTCTTCTGGAATTTATTTATGTTGTTATTGGTCTCCGTGATCATAATTGTTCTCATAGCGCATTTGTATTTTAATTTGGTGCATCTGAATAGCTCTTCTGCTACTGTACTGGACAAGTCATTAAAGTTGTGCGTGGTTGCATTTTATATTGTAATGTAGGCCTTGTTTAGATACCCTCAAAATTCCAAGTTTTTTCACTCTCTCTCCATCACATCAATTTTTAGCCGTTTGCATGGAGCATTAAATGTAGGTAAAAAAAATAACTAATTGCACAGTTTAGTTGGAAATCACGAGATGAATCTTTTGAGGTTAGTTGTCCACGATTGGACAATATTTATCAAATAAGACGAAAGTGCTACTATTCATCGGGTTGAAATTTTTTTCAATCTAAACAAGGCCGTACTGTCGTTTGTATTTTAGAAAGATTACAGAGTGAAACGTTGATTATTCTCAATATTAGTTAAAAAGTCTAGCATATTCTGGTCGACATTGGACTTCACTTGTCATCTCTGGTTTCAGTGCAAGGTCAGCCTTCTTGATCGTTAGCATGCCATCTGTGTTAGTCTGAATAAGAATACATTTTTGTGTCACCATATACGTACCCTCAAATGTATCTTTAAGCGAACTCTTGAGACTTGAACTTTGTACATATGGCTTCATATTTGCTTTTATGTCCACCTATATCTGTGCTTTTCTTTGTTCTAGCTAGCTCCTGTACAATCTTAAAGGTGAATGACATTTGTGATACATGGACATGTCGATTTTTTTTTTCTGAACTGCCCCTTTTGTTTAATAAGCACATCTCTGTTGTTTACAACTAAATTTGTTGTGACACTTTTTATTGTAGTAGCCTGTATTCATTGGAATAAATTTGTTGTTTAATAGGCACATATGCTGTCCATAAATTTCGAATTTGCATCTCCAGGCAGAACAGACACTGACTCCATGTTAGGCCATATTTAGACATTTAACAATGTTTACACATTGGTCTGGATCAAGGTGACAGAGGGCAACGTCAACTACCAACATCTTGTTTACAGGGATATCACAACTACGAATTATTGTTTGATTCAAACGATAACTTAGCATTTATTTGGAGATATAAGTGTTGCAAAAGAAAGTGTTATCTGTTGGAGCTCCGAAAAACATCTTAGCGGAACAGTGGTTGTTAGCTTTTGAACAAAACTGGACTCAATGAGGTTTGTTCTTTGATGATCTTAGTGGTGGTTAGCATTTAAAAAAAAACTGGACTCAATGAGGTTGAGGTCTGTTCTCGTATGCAGCGAAGAAAATGACGAAGATGATCATAGACATCTTGTATTGATGGCGCCTCTTATGTTTATTTATTAGCTTGTGAGGCGTGAGAGTCCATGTGTATTTCAGTTGCTAGACTGCAGAGACCGACAGAGATTATTGCAAAATGTTGCGAGAACGCTCTATATCTTTACATATGAAACCTGGGTCCAAAAGCTGCCCGGCGAGCGTGCCACGTCGTGTGCTTTTCCTGACCGTTCGATCGGGCGCGCGGACGGTCCAGATCGGGCGAGCCGCGGTCATTTTTCAAAAAACCCCTTATGTTTTTCGGAAATCAACCCGCGCTCTGCTCCTCGCGAACCTTCTTCGGCATTGCGACGCCCGCTCCCTCGTGAACTCTGCCACTCCCAGCGCCGCCCTCTGTGCCGCGGCCTCGCAGCCACGCCGCCGTCTGCGCTGCTCCCCGACCCTGCTAGCGCCGCCGTCGCTCCGTCCGTCGCCGCCGCGCCGGCCATCCCCATCGCCGGCTCCCTCCCCTTCCCTACCTCCCGTCCCCTACAGGATTACTACACCGCGACCTCCGCCTCCATCGCGGATGCCGCCGGCTGCTGACGCCCGCGGCCGGCTGCTTAGGACGCTCCCTCCTCTGCTCCCCGCACCGCTCCTCCCCCTCACGGTGCCTGGCCCCCGCTGCCGTCGCCGCTGATTCGCCGCTCCGTCCGATTCGCCGCTCGATGTGTTCATCCTCCTCCACGGCTCACCTATGTTTGGCCGCTCCTCTCACCAACCTCACGTACCTCCTCACTTTTCTGCCCATTCTAAACCCGCCGCTTAAGGATTAGGAGAGGTCGCCATCTACCTTGCAACACAGGCAAGAACCTGTCATTCGTTCCCTTTCCTCATGGCTCCAGATATTAATTTTTATTCTCTTTCAATTTCCTTCAGTTTCTTATTTTTAAAAGCTACGTATCCCAGATTCACGTTTGGCTGCTGTTTTGCCCCCTCCTACTGTAGACCTTCCGATCTTCTGGAACGTCCATGAGACCATGACTGGTGGCTTCCTCAAACTTACAAACTATGTTAGTCAACTACTTGCAGGCAAGCCATGTTTATTTCTCAGACAGACATTGAACCTTGACATTTTTTTTCCATTCTATAGGATTGTTTCCAGAGGCCTATTAAATGCCCTTGCAATCGCTCCTTAGTATTTGCTAGTCAAAAGCATTGTACCTCCAACATTTTGTTTGCTTCCATTTCATGGGATTATTTCCACAGCTTGCCCCTGCGCATGACAGTTTGCTGGGTGTAGAGCTACTGGACTTTGGTGATGGCTTTCCCACAGCCTTCGATTTCGTTCTACACATTCCGGCCGCCGAAGTCAACCATTGAAACTTGACTGTTTTTTCAGGCACATACTTGCTCGACCCCTGCACTTTCAGATTTTTTGCCCTGTCAAATATTTGTCCATGCCGTGTCTTCTCATCTTTTTTTTTTTGTTTCAGTTTCCAGCACCTGAACCATTTGGTATTTCTACAGAAGTTGGCAAGTGTAGGGAAGACATGATTCTTAGTAATGATGGTCAGGTAACTTACTGTCAGTTTGCTGCTACATCTAATCATTTGGTTTCGTATCACACACATTGATAAAATAAATTTCTAATATATATACTTTGTTGTGTTTGAGTTGCATGGATAATTGCTTAAAGATCTCCTCTGCAAATGGGTGCCTCGGCACACCAGTTACCATCCTCTCTTCATTAATATCTTATACGTTTTTTGCAGGGCCAAAAAAAATGGTTCGTATGTTTCTGTTGGGTATTTGGGTACGACAAAATGTTGTCCTTAACTAATCCGAGGTATCCTAAACTGCCTTATCTTAGCTATCAGAATTTAGCATTAATCATATTGGTGAGTTTTTTCTTATTTGCATGCCATGATGATTCGACCTTATGTACTTTATGGGTATATGCATGTATCTAAAAGAAAAAGGTCTTATCAACTACATAACGTATACATTCTTCTACATGACCATTGTGTGATTATATCATCAAGGTTCTCTGGTTGCTCCCTGCAAAATCATATCTTTGACATAATTAGTCTGCCATCCTGAATTCCTACAAATAATATAGTCATAGTTTCCCTCTGTTAGATTGCTGAAAGTCACCTTTTCAATGAGTCTACCTTCTATTGTCAATCAACTTGCTAAGATAAGTTGGCTGCCAATCTTTGTTTCACTGATTGATTGCTGATGGTGCTTCCTTTGGGTTAATAAGATGGTTGCACCACGTCAATTTGATAAGTGCTTATAGCAGCAATTCTTATGTTACCGCCTGCATGTTCTCCTAGATTGCTAAAAAATGGTTCCATAACTTAGTCCTATGTGTGCTCATTTCTACACCCCCGAAATATAAACGTAACTGACCATTGTGTGATTATATTATCAAGGTTTTCTGGTTGCTCCCTGCAAAATCATATCTTTGACATAATTAGTCTACCATCCTAAATTCCTACAAATAATATAGTCATAGTTTCCCTCTGTTAAATTGCTGAAAGTCTCCTTTTCAATGAGTCTACCTTCTATTATGAATCGACTTGGCAAGATAAGTTGGTTGCCAATCTTTGTTTCACTGATTGATTGCTGATGGTGCTTCCTTGGGGTTAAGAAGATGGTTGCACCACGTCAGTTTGATAAGTTTTATAGCAGCAATTCTTATGTTACCGCCTGCATGTTCTCCTAGATTGCTAAAAAATGGTTCCATATCTTAGTCCTATGTGTGCTCATTTTTACACCCCCGAAATACAAACGTAACTTATGATTCCCCTTTCTGCCTCCTACTCAGCACCTCTGTTATGGTTCCCCTAGATTGTTATGGTTCCATTTCCATCGTATTTGCTTCGCATATAGTGCAGCCACCTCTGTTCAAGATGCTTCGGATGCTATCTTGCCTTATTATTATGATAGCCTGATTTTTTTTATCTTCATTCCACCCTTTTATGAAGTCCAAATTTTGGCACCATATCTGTCTTATGTGCTTGCTATAGTAGACTTCATAGGTATCTTTTCAAGAAGAAAATTTCCTCTAATACATGTTTCTGTTGGTTAATGCTGTCATATTCGTCGACATGAACAGAACTGGTGACTCCTGGTGAGTCCAAATTAGATTACTACCAAGATCAGTTGCATCTCAAATATCAGCCGGTGACATTTCCTTCTCAAAATATCAGCCAGTGAGTACCATTTTATCTGTATGTACCATTTTGTACCTCATTTTCTGTATGTACCATTTTATTTGCTATAATTACCCATGAACTCACTGCAATACATGTTCAAGTATTTATGTGCTTATTGTTTGCTAATTGACATTTATCTGATGCCTTACCCTCTTATCCTACAGTGCCTTTACTTTGCCCGATGTCTTACATACAATGTATCCCAGATTTGCTAAGCATGAGGAACAATTCAAGAAGTATTTTTAGTTTTGGAACAACCACATTGTATTTTATGATGAGAACATTATACAATGTGACCAATTCTCGAAGGTGCCACTATTTAGGCATACTAACATGTGTAATGTATTCGACTGTTTTTATTAGTAAACTTATATGTGTCAGATCTAACATTACTGTATGTTGGGCAAGTGGTATGCTACAAAAATCAGGCTGAAAGCCCTCTTCATGCATTTTTGTTGTGCAGATTTTCAGTTTCAATGCATTTCGTGTGCTACGACCAAGGTCTCAATCTCATGAAAAACATAAAGCTCACTATCCTTGATGTATATAAAAGTGGCCTTAGTAACAGACGTTTTCTGCTTTCCTATGATTCAAAACTGCTCCTTTGTTAGTACTATATTTTCCATGCTCCCTATGATTCAGAGCTTGCTAGCCCGCGTGGGGTTCCGGCTAGTAATGCACATTCCTTTCAATAGAATCTGTTATTAACCTCTTCAGAGAAAAAAAATCAATCCTACCTATCGACTACACATCATGTTATATACTTAGCATAGTAGTTTGGAACTTCCAACACTGCCAGACTACATTACATAAACAATGTTTCCTACAATTACACTGTATATAGCACCGTGCATTTATTTGACCATTGGAGTATTAGGTAACTTAATACAAATCCCCCCTCCCAAAAAACACACACAAAGTTTTCCTAAAAGATTAATTAGACTGACTACAAATCACTTTTTTTTTCTTCAGGCTATTGGTTTCCATAACATTCCTGATATTCTATGCTTAGTCCGATCAAGTTTTGGTACCTTATTAAATAGGTTAATGTATCGTACGCGTAATGCCGTCGTTACTTGGAAGTACTACTCGGTGGATTCTGAAACTTTGAAAGGCTGGCAGCCTGCATTGATTTCTTCAGAAGATTCTCGTGATGACCACGAAGCAGCATCACTTCAAATATACAATTTATAACAGAGTAAAACTATTTTATATACATAATATGTTAACAAATATATCTATATCTGACAGTCATATACGAACTGCATATTCATCACAAAGTTCAACCTAAATAACCAATGCACAGTACGCTTGCATGTTCCATCAGAAGGTCGTCAAACACTGGTCCAAATTCTATATAAGGCGCGGCAAAGCCGCGCTGTTTTATAGTATTTACGGATTTGCCCTCGGCTTTTTTTCCTTCGAGGTAAAAAGCACGAACTGTGACTGTCACCCACGGCGTTTGACTTTCTTCTCTCTCAGTCTACTCTACTCCACTGTCCAGTCCCAGTCAGCCTCCGACCGAGCCCATCTCTCCCACCGCGCCGCCCGCCCGCCGGCGCGATGGCGCCGGCGCGGAGGGAGCCGTCCCTCCCCGACGAGATACTGGAGGACATCTTCCTCCGCCTCTCCGCGCCAGCCGACCTCGCGCGCGCCGCCTCCTTCCGCCGCGTCGCCTCCGGGCGCCGCTTCCTCCGCCGGTTCCTCCAACCCCGCCTCCACCCTCCGCCCCTGCTCGGGTTCCTCGAGCACAGGGGCAGGGGAGGGTTCCACCAGGCTGAGCCGCCGTACCGGTCCGCCCCCTCCGCGCGCGCCGTCGCGCAGGCCGTTGACTTCACCTTCTCCTTCCTCCCCAGCCCCGCCGGCAGCTGGCGCGTCTGTGACGCCCGCGATGGTCGCGTCCTCCTCTCGCGGAGCGTATCCGCCGCCACCGCCTTCGTGGACCTCGCGGCGTGCGACCCCTTGCACCGCCGGTACGTCCAGATCCCCGGTATCCCCGGCGATCTACTGTCCTCTTCCTGTCCCTTTGCGCCGTACCATGACGGCGTCGAATTCGAGCGTTTCCTCCCGCAGGATTCGGGGGATGAGAAGGACGAGCCGTCGTTCCAGGTGCTCTGCAGCGTGCGGTCATGGTACAGCGCCGTGATCTTTGTCTTCTCTTCGGTCACCGGAGATTGGTCTCGTCTCACCTCCATCAGCTTCCTACCCCGTCGGGCGATTAAGGACCCCAAAGTGTTGATGCGCTACTACGCCTGCGGCTGCTTCTACTGGGTGAATGGTTGGGACGGCTACATGCTTGTGCTTGACCCGCGTGACGACATGAAATTGTCGCTGGTTGAGCTCCCGCGTATCCAAGTCACCCAGCACCAAGGGCTGGCCATTGTTGATGCAGGGGAAGACAGGCTCGATTACTGGAGGCACACTAGCGCTTCACTGCAGGACATGGCGGAACAATGGTTTTGGGCCGGAGAAATGGCAGCGCAAGATCATCCCTTTGCCTGAGCCTGAGTATTGCTGGTACATCAAAGGCGCGGCTGATGGCTACTTACTCTTGAAGACTTTTCCATGGGATTAGTCCCAGCATCAGCCAGAAGCTCTGTATTTCACACTGGAGCTCAAGACATTGTTGATTGAGAGGCTGTGCGTGTCTGATCACCACATTTGTCATGCTCACCTGTATGCAAGCTTCCCACCACCGCTGTCACCGCCAAGTATATGAAATGGTGAGAGCCTTCCTTGTTTGCTTCTGAATTATCTCGTGTCCACCTTTATCTTTATCATCAAGTAGCACTTCTGCAAGCTGACGATTCATTTCAGCTCCGTCCAGAAATGTTAGGCGCATTTAGAGTTTTAGACCAGGGAAAAGTCATACAAAGTAGATTTTGACCTTAATTTCTCTTACAATATGTTGCCAATTGCTAAAAAATTAATATCATCTAGAGACACTTGAAGTACAAATATATTGGTGCAAGTTTTATCCCTAAACTTGCATATAATTTGACTAATTGCCGGTCAAAATTTGTAAAACTTCACTTTTCCTTTGGTCAAAATACGTGTGTTTTGACCCTTGTTTCGATTTTGTAAAGCTTGTCAAATTGGGGACTGTTATACATATTCCTTGAAATACTATAGTGAAGAAAAGCTAACTGTTCTAATTGTAACCAACGTTATTTTTCACTTGTAATTTCAGGTTTTAGTAAGTTCAGACTTTTTTATCTTTAATTAACACACCATCTGTGTGATCACCTTGGATTTTCTTTTGAATGACACCATAGTCAATTAGAATATAATGGTACTTGATCATAGCCATACTTTCACATATCTATAAGTGAACACATGGAGAGATTAATTGCCTATGGATGCATATTTGCTAGCCTTAAGAAACCAATTCATATTGGGTATGGCATTTTGATCTATATGCATTATATGTGTTTTTCTTTGGTCTAGTTTCTACACAAGCTTAGTGGTGAATGACATTTGTGAGATATGGACATGGATTTTTCATATTTTCTGAAACGATCTTGTTTAATAAGCACATCTGTCATTTACAAATTACAAGTAATTTTCTTGTGACCATTTTTAGTGTACTATGTAATCTGTAGCTAGCATTTGTTGAAATGAATGAATTAAGTAGTTACCAAACCTATGCATAGTCCATAAACTTCACATTTGTATCTCCAAACAGAGTGGATATTTTTGTGTCAGCATGACCATATGGTGACTCTATGCTAGACCATTCGTCGACTTGCAATATTATTTACTTTGATGGCATTCATGTAGCAATATAATCTGTGTTTTGCTTGCTCTTTTGACACATTGGACAGGACCAAGGTGACAACATCTGTCTGATGGTGTAAGATCATCATCGTGCAAGACAATCATCGCTACTCCTGGCACCTGTGTTCTGTTTTGTTTTTGGTTCCCCTCTATGCCATAATCAGGAACTCGACATGCAATGGAGGCACTTAGGTGCCCATGTGAACTGTCGTAAGCTCTTAAATTTGTACATATGAAACTTTGACAAATGGATGTAATGTATGTTTAAGAAAACCTGATAATATAGCTATTAACGCGAGCTCTTCTATCGATTGCATTTGGTGCTTGTGCGAGCCCTGTCATTCATTTGCCCTTCTGAGTAGAGAGGATCCTTGGTGTAAGACTTTCGAAGTTTATTTGTGTCCATGAGCAAACATGCCTGATTGCCTGCCAACTGGTCTAATGGAGGTCTAATTTCTAGTTCTATGATGCCTAGAGCCTGGTTACATTTTATTTGTGTAATACCTTGCTTCAAAGGGCCTGAAAGCAAAATAAACTAACCTTGGCAGCCAGTAACATCCAGTAGTAGGTTAGTAACCTGACAAACAGTTTGTGCACTCTGCACTAACAAACAAAAACAAGTTAATTTGTGCATTAGCATAACTAAATTTGTGTAATACCATTTCACTTGACTGACAGTCATCACTAGGTACCGTCGACAGATGATCCTTCTGGCCCTTTCTGGAATGCCAAATTTTGTTAAAAGGATCATTGCGAATTTATCAGTTACATCTGTTACATTTACTTTTTTTTTTTGCTCCTTTTCTTGGTTCAGATTATGTTTTTCCCCCTGGAGGCAGGCTTGAGCCATGACGGCTTATATAGTTATATAGTCCAGAGTACTATTCAATTTCGGAACAGTTTGTTAGTCTGGGCCAGCCCACCAGCAGCAGTATATGGCTCTTTCTGTCCCTTCCGTAAATTCATGGCAAAGCATATGCAACATCTCCTGTTGATTGCACAGTTTGCAAATTACCTTGAGAGAACCGCTATGACGACGAAGCGCTTTATTACTAGCTTGAACTGGGAGTTTATAGTCATCCGATCCGATCAGGTGTCCATATCATCAATGTGCAGAGTCCGGTGGAGGCCTGGCGATTTGAGTGTGAGCACGTCCGAGGAATGCATCGGCGGGAAGGTCGATGGGCCCGTGCTTCAGCGAACGGAAACGCTTACACCCGAGCGCTTGTTTAATGGGCCTGCCAACCGACCCAAGCAGCCTCCCAAACTCGTAGTCTAGAGTGTTCCGAACGGCGGCCCAAGCTTGATGGTGCTACTGAACCGCCTTTCTTCCATGGGCTGTGTAGTGAGCCCAGCTCGTGATGGCAATTTTTAGCATCTATGCTTTACATCATGTGGTGGTTTCTGTTGATGAAGCTTGACTGAAACAAGCTTACTTCTCCCGATCTCTGGATACTGAAGGGATAACAGTTATGACCATATGCTCCTGTTTAATTCCCTTGGCTGTATGAAACTCTCCGCTGTTCGAACCTATGTTGGATGCTTGCTTAAGTTTGGGACATGACATGAATGAATGTGAGAGGTTTAGGTGCCATAGTTGTGTAGTCAGGTAGCAGTCTTCTGCTTTCCTTAGTTTTTTTTTTCGCGATCCGGCCATTCACCCGCATTTCATTAAGAGGGAAAAGGTTTTTGAAAACTTAGTCCAAACTCAATGACGAGTAGCCATCAAGGTTGACTAGAACCCGCACTCCTATCTACTGGATACAACGTTTTTTTTCTCGAATACGCAAAAGATTTGTGCATTTTTTATTAAGATTGAGAAATATTTTACAACGCCGCTAGGGAGTACATGATTTTACAATTAACGCTTATCTCCCTAGCCAAAAAACTTAGGGCTATTACTCACGCACTAGACTCCCAAGGTTGTGCGCGCCGGCGTCGATCCATTGATCCACGACGTGCTTGATGATGGCTAGGACTTGTGGGACTGTTTTGGAAGTTTGGCAGAAGCAGCTCGCGTTCCTCTCCTTCCACAGGTCCCAAGCGACGATCGCGAAGAGGGAGTCAGCACCTCGTCTCTTGTCGCCGTTCCATCACGCTCTCTAGGAAGCCCACCATGTGAGGATGGAATCACCGCCGACCTGCTCGGTGTTGACGCCGAGAGCGGAGAGGATGTTCCACGAGACCTGCCTGGAGAACGATCAGGACGCAATGATGTGGTCGATGGATTCCGGCTCTTGGTCACACAGGTAACAGTGATCCGCGGCGTCGAGTCCATGTTGTTGCCTCCTGTCTGCTGTCCAATGGCGTCGCCGTAGCGCAAGCCATAGGAAGATTTTCACTATCAGTGGCGCCCACATGTCCCAGATGCGCTCGCAGCCCGGTATTGGGTGCGAGGCCTGGTGAAGTGCCCTGTACACTGAGCGGGAGGAGTACGAGCCGTCTGCTGTCCATCTCCATACCAGGCGGTCTTCAGCGTTGGACAACTGCACATGCCGGACCTGGTCCCAAATGTTTAGGTACTCTTCGATAGCTGGGACTGATAGGCCTCCGGTGATCTGCCTGATCCAAGCGCCATTTGTCAGGGCTGCTGCCACTGTTGTGCAACGGATGTTCCTTGGGCTGACGAATTTCATCAGTGTAGGTGCACTGCTTTGTATGGAACGGCCGTGCAGCCATTGCCCGGTCCAGAACTGTGTATTCCTGCCATTTCCGATCACGGTGTAAGTAGACGCATTGAAGAACACCTGCACCTCGTTGGATACGGAGATGGGCAGCTCGGACCATGCCCGCTGGCTGTCAGTTTGCTGCAGCCATAACCACCTTGTCTGAAGAGCGATGCCGGTGAGCTTTGTAACGATACTAATATGGGTACTAATATGAATTGGATTTAGAACTGGATAGTATGCCGGTGGGCAAGGTTGCCGCCAGCCAACTCGAGCCGCAGCTCGCCGCCTAAATCCGACGCCAACCAAGGCGAAAACAAACCAGACTCCCGTTCCCCTTTTCTACCCCTTGCTTACAGCTGTTGCGGGACAGCGGGCTCACCCGATGCAACGGGCCTGCTGGTCACCCATTTTGGGCCAGCATATTTCGGCTTTGGACTTCTCAGGCTTGGCAGCTTGTCAGCGGGCCGGACCGTGACATACTGACATCACCCCCTTCATTAGCAACGGCTTGTCCCCAAGCCGTGAACTCTGGAAACCTCTGAAGCAAATCATCTTCATCTTCCCAGGTGGCCATCTCAGCTGGTAAATCCACCCACTTGATCAACAGTTGATGGTAGATACGGTTGCGTCTTGTAATGGCCCGGCGATCCAAGACCAATTGTGGAGTCTGCACAGAAGGAAGATCTGCTGGTAATGGTGAGAAGGCAATAACACCGGTACCTTTGACAGGCTTCAAGAGGGAAACGTGGAAAACATCATGAGGTAATTTCAGCTTGTAAGCAACATCACCAATTTTAGCTTCCACTTCATATGGCCCGAAGTATCTGAAAGCGAGTTTGGGGCTAACCCGAGAGACAACTGAGCCTTGAGCATATGGTTGAAGCTTGAGCCAGACACGGTCACCCATCTGAAACTCACGTTCACTGCGGTGTTTATCAGCTTGACGCTTCATCCGCTGCTGGGCACGCAATAGATGTTGCTGAAGGATAGAATTAACAGATTTACTCTGTTGAAGCCACTGATCAAGATCGGGAATAAGACAGTCTTGATCTGGGT